AAAAAAAAAAAAAAAAAAGGAGTTTGGGATCTCTCCCAAAACTGAGGAAGCCATTAAAAAAAAAAGTAGAAGTTTGCCCTGGTCTGACAGTATTTCTAGATACCTCTGACCACAGAACTTTTCGATGCCTTCAGCACCGGTTAGGAGCAGAGAGTGTAATTTTGAAGTCTTGCCTGAAAGAAATTCAGAATACTCCTTCTGCTCATTGCAAGCATTTGCCTGGCTGGTCCTCCACCCCCTTCAATCTGCACAACAGAAGCAAGGGCATGGGTGATAGATGAGCTTCCATCTTGCTGCTTCTGACACAGCTACTGCACTGGGCAAAATAACTCAAGGTTTTATTGATTTGGACCTAAGAAGCAGCCATTCAGCCAGGAATCAACACTGACAAGACAAATCCTGGAAGTTGCAGGAAAAAAAGAGAAGTATCAGCATCTCCAAAGTGTCTTTGTAGAGACCAGCCAATTGGAGGATATACAGAAACAAGTGAGAGACCACCTCCCCTTTGTGCCTGGAAAGGCTGGCATGGCTCTTATTTTGGGAAGGACCTTGTCAGAGTGATTCCCTTCGAATTAATTAAAAATTATACTCTGAAAATCCACACCTCTCCCCTACCCCAAGAAATACCACCCTACAAGCAGTGCCAAATATATTAGCACAGTTACCCCACAGAGATTTGATTGTTGTACCATTTCTGGCTACTTGCAGATACCCACAATACTTCCATGAGACAACACCACAGTTTAGAGCACATGTCACCGCTGAGAGACATTTAACTTCATTAACCTAGGAAAAAAACCCAGAAAAAAAATAATAATATAAAATCAAGCAAAAGAAAGGCTGGTAGGGCACAGACATCCTGCCTTGCAGAGGCAAAGAGCATCACATCCCAGCCTGAAATGACCCAAGTTCACAGGAAGGCAGCAGTGCCTGGTGCTCACTGCATGACAGCAGTGGACAATTCGGCTCCCCTGATCAAGTTCTGCTTTTTTGGAGAGGACAATTTGCTTGAGTTTCTGCCAAATTGGCACAAGAATGATTGAACTAGTAGCAAAAAGGTAAAACAATGGCATGTTACTTGGTGAAAGAAGCTGACTCAGCCTCAATCAAGTGGGAAGTTGAGAGCCAAGAGAAAGGCACTGCAGAAGGAGAAAGAAAAAAAAAAAAAGGCATCTGGAGCAGAAAAGCAGCCACAACAGGAATTCCCTAGTGACTAGACATGAAGTATTATTACATAATTCCTCTGGGTGATTAAAATACAGCCTTCAACTAACTCCTTCCCTTTATGCCACCTCCAAGAGGTGGAATGATCTGGAACGTTTTGGGTGCGTATGGAGGGATGCTGAGCCATGAACTGCTGAAATTTAATCAAGCCTCAGTCCTTGCCCACTGACAGCTTTTGGTGTCCATTATACAAATTAGCATTCAGAACAACAAACAATCCCACCATGAAATGCAATCAAACACAGCAGACAGGTCATCCTAGTAACAGAGTAAAAAAAACAACAACCCATAAATCATGTAACTAAGAGCTTCCCTGAAAACTTTGCCCCAAGAGTACAGCTGGTGTTAGTGCCTGAATCTTCTGAGCAGCTGCAAAGAAGCTGATGAGAAAGTTGGAAAAGTCCCTGCTGAGTACACATTCCAACTTCCTGCTAGGCTTCACGGTTGTGGATGTTTAATTGTCATTATGTTGCTTTTTGCGTTAATGCTAATGATTTACCTGACACATCACTTTACAAAGGGGTAAAATGAGACCTTGGGTTTCCCTATGGCAAAAAAAGAACATTTCTCAGAATCCTTCCTCTGGATAGTGACTAGATATATGGACCATTTAAAAGAGAGGTTTTGGGGTTTCTTTTTATGTTTTGTTTTTTTTTTTGGTGGGCTTTTTTTTTTTTACTAGCCTTTTGCCTAAAGGCTAGTTCAGGATATATCTTGCAAACAATACATGTGCACTGTGTTCATAGCAGAGTGATAATGGTGACAATGTGATAAAGAATAGATTAAAATCCTCAAAGAAGCATTTAGCAGTGAAAAAGCCTTACAATTGAATTGCCCTAAAGGAAGATATTTATGTACAAACCCAGTTCAAGTCCAAGATTTATGTACCAAGTCAGGACATTAGCTCAGATGGGCGATTTAATACAGCCACTGGAATCCCTGTGGTTAAATTATGCATCTGACCTCTTCACTATGTGTGTTTCAACAGTGTTAAACAATAAGCAGTACGTCCTTTATTGCCATTTCCAGTTCTAATGACTGGCAGCACTATAAAAAGCACCATTCCCAGCAACTCAGTCAAGGAGGTCAGGGTAATAGCAGCGCCTAGTGTGACAATGCCACTCTTCAAGGAAGGGGCAAGGCCATCTCTGGCTCCAGCAAAGACTTGCAGAGCTAAGCAAAGCACGGAGCAGGGCTGGAAACAGCAAGATCTCCACTCCATCAATCCCCAGGATGACAGAGGTTGGGAGAAAATGGGCACTGGGAAAGAGAGGGCCAAGAAAGCCTGGCAGAGAGACAACACCTGAAGGCTGAAGGGCATCACTAAGAGACAGGCTATGGAAACAATGAAACTTAACACAGTTTAAGGGCAGCTACCTGCTCCTGAGGAAAAGGGGATGGTAACGCTGCACATAATACAGAGCTGAAAATATGCTTTGCACTAAATAACCTTAGTTGTTTCATCATTTCTAAAGATGAAGCAATGATGGAGCATCCAGCAGCCATTATCCTACTGGACTGCTGAAGTTGAAAACAAGGGGGTTTACTGGCCAAACAAAAGTGCATTTTTTATTAATGTACTTTTGGATCTCTTCATAATATTTCAATATAACCCCTGGCTACTACACCAATGAGCATATATTAGACTAAGAATTAATAAAACTCTATTTAGAAAGATGAGAACATTGCATAATACATTAGAGAAACAAATGCATTTTTGAGGGGAGCTAAGGGAGATCTGGACACCTAGTCTTCTGAAATCAGCCAGGGGAGGTCTTTCTCACAAACAGTAGGATGCACATAAGAGGAGTCAGCAGTTACGAGAATCTGAGTATCTGAGCTCCTGGAGGTTTATAAGAAAGGAAGCCTGAATTAAGCTACACTGATATTCTGCCTGGATTTTTCCTCTTTCTTCATTGGTATAAGAAGAAACAACACACCCACCCAGAAAACCCTCAGAACAAAAATGAAAGCACAAACTAAGGAGGAATCCTGACCTTCAGAAAACAACCTAATTATAATTACATGGGATTACAAATCAAAGAGAAAAAGCTGCCAAGTTTTTAGAAGCGAGCGCACAGCAAAAATAAAAACTCCACAGTGGAAAAACCCATAGTCTCAAAAGATTATTATTATTATTATTCTTTCTAATAGCAAACAAGACAGCAGGGACCACAGCTGTTTATTTATCCCTTAAAATTGAACTGCCCTTTACCACAAGATCTTCCAAAGAACACTTTTTTTATTATTTTTAAAGCATGCAAGATAGCAAACAAACTCTCCCCCAACCTTTTGTGGCCAACTTGATGCTGACCTTCAAAAGATTCAAACATTTTAAATTTTTTATTGTTTTTTTTTTAGTTTAAGCTAAGAAGAAATATTTCAAGACTTTTTTCACACTTGAGCATCAGTGCTAAACCCTAACATGTAAGAATAGCTCTATCCCTGGTTACAAACAGAAGAAAACCTGCCTCTCTTAAACATCAAATTTCATTATGAAACTTGCACTTCTACATCACAAACCATTCAAATTCACCATGTGCCTGAGTTTTTCTCATTAAGGGAATGTTAGCTAGGTAACTTTTTTTTAACCATTCTGGGTTCAAGGTTTTGAGGGATTTGCTTTACCTGCTTTTTTCCTTGTTGCACATGCTTTCAAGGAACACAGAGAACCAGAAATGATACTGCTGAATACGAACACATGCCAGCTAACCAAAGCACACTCAGGCCGGTCATCTGATTATTGCTGCATTTCTTTTTCCCAAGCAGATAAACAGTTAATCCAAAACACTGTTCCCAGGCAGGAAGTAATTTTTGCTGATCTTAGGGTAGGGAACGGGATTCTTGAGATTAAGGGAACTACTTTTTTGGTATAACAGTTTCATTTTATGCTTCCCAGGGCTCCAGTTGCCTGTGAACACCAACTAGGCCCACCCAGAAATGGCAAGGGTTTTGTGGGGCCCATAGAACAAACCAGCAAAAAAAAGCAAAAGCTTTCAGGTGAAAAGGCGAGGCATTTTTTTCACAGGCACTACTCAGCAAATAGGAAGTAAGAGCAGAAAGCAGCACAGCCCTCCTCGCTAGAAATTTTCCACCTTAGCCATTACGCTAGGAAACACAAAAGAGAGTAGATGCACTTTCTGCCTCTGTAGTACAACAGCTTGTGCGAGACCTTTCTTCTTTTATGCCTCTACCAAGACAGTTATCAAGAGGGTAAGTGTTGAACAAGAAGAATTCACCACAACTTCGCCTGGATTTCCTCCCACCAGTGACCACCACCTCATCAGCTTTCCCAAAAAATCAACCTGTTTTTTTGGTTTGTGGTGCTGTTTTAGCATACAAAGGCGAGCAGAACCACAGCTGGAGCCTCCTCCACAATACTTCCCCTGCTGCTCACCCCCCCGTGTCTTTCCCCAAGAGGACAGGACAGCTGCCACTGCTGGGACCCCAAAGAGCAGCCCAGGATCCCGTTTCAGGACATAACTCTGCAGCTCAGTGCTGCCGGCTGAGCCCAGGTAGAAACCCACAGGACAGACACCGGGTGTGAAGCCCAGGCAGGGAAAGGATGATGAGGATATAGGATTTACTCCTTGCGGGAAGGCAACTCGGGGGGGGGCCTGACCGACACGAGGGTGACACACAGGGACAGAACCACATCGTGTCCAGCTGCCCCCCTTGTCTGGAAAGAGCAGCTGCCGAGCAGGACCACGGAAGGGCCGAGGGGGTCCGTGGGGGCTGCACGGGGTGGGGGGGCTGCGGGAAGGCGCGTTTCTCACCTTGCTCACGACGTTTTGGACGAGTCCGGCTCTGATCCGGTACTGCCACTCGTGGCAGTCGCACTCGCTGGCGTTGCCCCCCGCGGGGGTGGGCAG